CCATTTGAGGGGAAAACTCTTTGTTTTCCCCTCAAATGGCGTCGCCCCGCCCCCAGCGTGTGACGTCACTTCCGGGTGACGCACGCACAGGGGTGGGGTTTCCCCCGGGCCCCGATTCCGCGGGAGCAGGAATCGGGGCTCAAAACCGGGGGGAATTCCGCCCCCCGGGGGGATTTGGGACCCCTACTTCTCAGCGCTGATTGGTAACAAGTCTCTTGTAAGGCAGACAATGAAAAGAAAACTTGGCAGCCTTTATATTTAAAAATCCAGAGATTAATTAGATGATGCAGTTGGATAACCCCCCACTTTCATGGCTAAACCTGCTATTTCCCCAAATTAACAAAGATTTATATGTAACCATGGTGATCTTTTTTTTTATCAGAACCAGCCTCAATTTCACAAACAATAAGAAGACTTTTGAGTTTCCTAGAACACATAGCAGACTGTATGCTTAATGCAAAAAAGAAGAGGGAGAGAAAAAGATTAGTTAGGGAATTATTGCGACTTGTTCTTAAAATGAAACCCAGGATATGTTGCAGACTTCATTGGATCATGTGATGCCTGGGGCATAATGGGTTTTAAGATGTATCAAAGGGTACAAGTACAGAAAAGCAAAAAACAGCCACCCTGCTTTTGAAAATATAGAAGCCAGCAGTTAATCAGATACCGCTCCATAGTTAATTATTAATATCTTCTGTTCCTTCAATATTGCTTTCAAATAAAACAACACCCCCTAGTGGCTGTCAGCAATAACAGATCAATATTACCTGCATCCTTTGCTGAAGCTTGAATCTAAAATCTCAGTAAACCTCTATTTGAACAATTAGCTATGCTGTGCTTTTTCATTCTCATTTTAACAACAGTGCAGCATTACAAAATGAATTCTTGCTGAAAATGGGTTTACTAAACAAAACGTAAATAAAAAACCACTTACCTCCCATAGGACGGACATTCTTTAAAAAACATTCCTGGCACAACTTTCCCACTTTTTAAATTGAAATTGCCCCTGATTTTTCCAACTTGACTCATTTTTATATGCATGTTTTTTATCATTCTTGTACTTGATTTTGCACATGTGAACGTTTTGGTTTTGTTTTCTTTCTAAGTACAGAAAACCTTTTTTTTTCCTCCAGATGTTTATGAGATTCCTGAGGAAGAGGTAAGACTTGTATCTATATATCTTTTTTTAAATGCACCCAGAAGTATGGCAGTTCAGAGACCTGCATGCAGAGGGGCATATTGTTTTCATTTGTTAGATGTAATCCATGTCCCCAGTTAACTTGGATGCATTTCCTCACAGTTTTTTTAAAAAAGAAAATCTATGTCATGTTCAGAACTGCACTGCTCATGTTTTCAGTCTCAAGCGGAGTAAGCTTTTACTAAGCTTAGAATTTTCAGCTTAGTGTACCATTCTTCTCAGTGAATATCTGTGATTATACCTTTGCAGAGGTCAACTCCAATTAACTTTCCAATGAATTTATTCCTAAGAAACATCTGAAGACTTAGATCTGTCTGGTTTGACTATGTGGCAGTATGTCTGCATCTTCCTTATGAATAGAGGTATAAGCAATACAACCTCCAATCCCTGGCTGGGATTTGCTTAGTCACCCTTTTTCTCCCAGTTGTTACTCATGACCCTAGGATCCTGAAAGGCTGGCTCTTTATTGGGATCCACAGTTTCTGCACAGAGTTTAGACCTTGATGGTTTACTTCTGAGCTTTAGTGGCATTCCTAGATGGCTATGGGACTGTAAAAACTGATGTGTCAGCTGGTACTCCTGGGAAAAGATAATAAACTGTCAAAGTAATTGGCAATACAATCCTAAACAGAGTTAGAAAAGTTCACTGAACTCAGTGGATTTAATATAATTCTGCTGAGGATTGCACTCTTGTTTACTTTACTGGTATAGCCCACCAAGGAACTCAAGGTGTTATACTGGAGACCTCCCACCCAGTCACTGACCAGATTGCTGTAGCACTCCAACACACTCTGGTGCCATACTTGGTGATTTTAACAAAATTTCATTAGCAGAAGAGCTATTAACAATGTTAAGTTGCTCACTTAACAAAGAAGTCGGAGAGTGATTCAGCAAAAAGATAGCTTTATTCATCAACTCAAACACAACTCCAACACGGATCAACATCAGATAGCCAGAACAGCTTTTGCATTAAAGCTGTTCCCTTTTTAAACTCTCCCGGCTAATATAGCCACACCTTTACTGTACATAGTCAACCAATGAAATTGTTTTCATAAGGACCAATCATCAACGTTCCCGCTCAGGGAGCTTGCTGATGTGCGATTGGTCAGTTCTTCCTGGGCTAGCCATGCGATTGGGTGCATTAGGATCCTAGCCCAGGACGAAGCTTAACATTGCTTTTCTATGAAGTGATTCTCATACATGTTTAGGCATTCAATGACAGCTATTGAATACACTACATATTAGCTACCAAGCACAGAAGTATTCAGTGGGCTACCCACCAAATATTGCTATACTGAGCAATATTTCCGTCCTCTGTTCGGTGGTCTAAAAATAGTGATTTGGCGAAAGAACATGAGTAATTTACCTTTCTTGTTTTGCAGCACCTTTCAGGACTAACAGTGACCTGAACATTTAAGTTTAGCAATCATTCATAACAAGGCTTTCTCCCTTCAGGTCCTGAATGCTGCTAGGATATACTGTTCGCTGGATGTAGGCTAGAAATGTATTCCAAGAAATAAACCACCTAAAACATAATTTTCAAGTGCTAATTAATTAACAGTTCCTTTTCTTGAAACAGGAAAAATCATCACCTCCATTATCCAGGTAATTTATCATTGTGAAACTCCATATTTGTAACGCACTGAAAATGGTTTCTGTAGTCTCTTCAAAGGACCGTTGTCTACACCAGGTGCTTAAGACAGATCTATGGATTATGAAACACACAAGAATTAAACAGGAAGTACAATAAATCTTTGACTTCTCCAGCCTGATTGACCAGTTTCCACTTGTAACTGGTTGACCAGCTGGTGCGGAACCAAATGAAATGTAATCTTACTCCTTTCAGAAACATGGCCTGGTCCTTTGATGAGCACAGTGTATCCACACGCCATAGACTGTACTCTTTTAACTGGAAGTCAGAAACTTCACCGAGAGAGATGATGCTTTTTGCAATCAGTTGAACACAAAAGATATAGAAATACCACAGAAATATGGCCTACTAATTTCTCCCAACAACCTTTTCCACTTCAAATTAGGAGAGTTATCTAGAATGCCAGGAGGAAACCTGCCAAGAAATTCAAAGTCATAGAAGTGGGAAGATGGTTCACACCTTTGTCAGTGTAAGTTTTTTCTGCCCATGCCAAGTGTCATGAATGGGAAGCAGTAACTGTACACAAAACAGCTCCCTTTCAAGGATTCTGGAATATTGCACATGCTCCCAGTTTTTTGTGTGAATACCGTCATATCTGTATTACTTCACACATTTGTTTAAGTAATAGTCCTTGGAATTCAGTACAACAGACAAGACACAGAGGTGTCCCCTGGCACACTCCTATTGTCCCCACAACATACCACCCACCACAACATATCAACATACCTCTGCAACAACATGTCACCCATTACATAAAGTATACATATGGACAGCAAGCATGGATACTGTCTTCTCAATTGCATATAGGTGGTTTGGTAAATGTGTGAACCAGTTTGGTGAGCGGGAAATTACAGGGTATAGCTCAAAGTAATCGTTCTTAATGCCACAAAAGTAAATGGAATCACTTCAGTTACACTGTCTTGAATGGTTCTTTTCTGCATTTATAACTTTCTGGATTGAAACCGTTGCCTTTGTGAGTGAATGCATAGATTTCTTGCTCTGTTTTGAAAGGCAACATGGTTGTCTAATAATTATCATGTTGCTATCAATTATTCTTGCAAATTAAGTTTTTATTCTGGGGGGAGAGTTTTGTTAGTGTTTTTGAGTAGTGTTTTGCAAATACAGCAGGGAACCAAGCATTGCTGCTCATATCCTTCATGCCCTGTCCCCGATCATATGGTGCAGCTTTTCAGAGCAAGAGACTGAAGTGGGAGGGAAGCCAGAAAGGCCTTAGTGTATGTGGAGAATGTTGCAGGCCACCCATTGAATCCTTCCTCTGCTCCCTCGATAATTAATTTATATTTTACTCCAAAAGGATTTCCAAGTCAGTTCCCCCAAAGCCTGTTCAAAGACCAGGAGGATATTCTCAGATACAAAACACAGCCAAAGAATTGTCAATGACTGATGTGTCCAGGTTAGTTATTAATGAAACATCTTGCCCCAAATATTCACTTATTTCTAACAAGTATATCACAAAGAGAGTCTCGTGTTGAGTGTGTGATAGGGTGTAATGGATAGAATGTTACACTTATAACAGGGGGACCCAGTTCAAATCTCCACAGCCATTAAGTTTGTTGGGTGACTTTGGGCCAGCTGCATGTCATAAACTAACCAAATTCACGGGAATGTTGAGGATAAAAGGTGTGGAAGGAACCTCTACACTTATTCAAGGAAGGGTGGGATACAGGTGTGTATTAAATAAGTTCAACCAGGGCTATTTTTTTTCTGGGGGAACGCGCCGGAACAGAGTTCCGGAACTTCTTTGACAAAATTCTTTTTAAAATGTTTAAAAGGTCATGAGTTTTCAGTATACAGACTGAAAGCTTCATTTCCCTCTTGAGAGTTCCAGCACCTCTTTTTCAAAAAAAAGGGGGGGGGAGCCCTGGGTTCAACTACTGTTAGACCTCATGATATCACTGGAAGTAGTGTGTTCTGGCATGAGGATAAGAGTCTGACTGCTCAGCCAGACAACAATTTCTCCCCATTCCCAATGGTTGTCCCAGGTACTGTCAGGCACACAGGAAGTGAGGAAATCAAGAGGCATTGTTTATCTTAAGACACTTGTGCATTCACTGCAGACTTCACAACTGGTCTTGCCCTAGTTTTTGCCAGCTATGCGGACCATGTTGCAGTTCTGCTGCAAATTTTGAATAAGCAGCGTCCCAGACTGCTGACAATTAGACTTACCTAGGTGTACTCCGACCTGACAGTACAAGAAATTAAAATTCTCTTCTCTCAGGTACCCCAGCACCCATACACCTTCCTTATACCACTGCATAGTCCAGCCTAATAAAAGCACCAACTTCAACAAAAGTTTCTAGAAATCCTGACATTGAAAAGCAATTGTCTGTGTAACTTCAATTAGAAGTCAAAACTTATGATTGAAATATTTCATATTTCTCCCTAGAAACCGTCCTCAACTAAAAGTCGTAAGTAAACCGGATGCAGAATTCTCGGCAGAGATAATTAATAGCTGTTATTCAAGAGGCAGAAAATCAAACTGCCTTAAAGATGGTATGAAAAAGACTATAATAAAAATAATACAGTGTACTTTAAACTAGCAAGACTAATTGGGAAATTTTAAACTATGAAAGATCTCTGAGACCTTGGAGAAATACTGCCAGTCAGAGTAGCCAATACTGGTGTGGTCAACAAGATTTCAGAAACCAAGTATACCACACTGTGGTCACATACAGTGCCTTTCATGCATGTGCAGAACTCTTTCCTAAGGGCTGTATTCCACCATACTTAAGAGCTTACTGCCAGGTTGAATAACCAAAGAGATTCATTCAAAATTAGTTGTTGTAGATTTTCTGGATTTTCCGGATTTTCCAAATATCTGTGATCGGTGTTTAGTAAATGTGCTGACTGCACTGCACACATTTGTTGTTTTGTTACCCAGAAATCAGGGGTTCTGCTGACACTTTCTACAAAGGCAGTAAGGATTGATTGCAATACATCATCTATAGTGACTTGTCAAATCCTTATTATCATCGTGACTATATGCAATTTTGCTTGTCCAAATTAAACACTTCTGCATCATTTCAGTAATCCGCCTTTTTTTCAATTTCAGGATCCTGACAGCTTTGAAATGCAAAGTGAGGAAAGTAAGCATTTTTCTGCATTGTTGTACAATTGAGGGGCCTTTCGTGAATTATGGCTTAACGTATGACAGCTTTCCACACCAAATTCTGTACTCTCCACTGTCCTGTGTATCTAATGAGTGGATTTCGGTGCTCTGTGCATTTCTTTTTTAATGACTAGACTTTTATTTACACCTTTAGAAAGCTGGATTAGCGTTGAGCAGGGGTCTCTAACACAGTGCCAGTGGGCACCATGGCACCTTTCTTGGCATCCACCAAGTGTTCAAAATAGGGATGCCAGGTTCTCTAACACAGTGCCAGTGGGCACCCACCAAGTGTTCAAAATAGGGATGCCAGCCTCCAGGTGGTGCCTGGGGATCCCCTGGAATTACAGCTCATCTCCAGACTACAGAGATCAGTTCCTCTTGAAAAATAGATGCTTTGGAGGGTAGAATCTATGGCATTCTACCCCACTGAGGTCTCTGTCCTCCCTAGGCTCCATCCCCAAATCTCCGGAAGTTTCCCAACCTGGATCTGGCAACCCTACCCACCCACCCCCATCCACTGCCAGTGGCCAGAGGAGACCCAGCAACCCTATTTCGAAAAGTGGATGGGCCTCTTGTCCAGAACGGCTTCTGATTTGCCAACAGAGATCTGATTGGCTGTGTAAATTACAATGCTGTTGTTTCAGCAGCAGTTGCCTCCACAGTATTGTTTTATTCTCTCACTCCCCTTTCCCAGTGTATTTTTAAAAAAATTACACCTCTTCCCTCCCACACTTGGACTTCCTCTGTGTGTGTGCATCCACCACCCTGTGCCAGAATTCCGAAGATGCCCACAGGCACAAAAAGTTTGGGTGGCCCTGGTGTGGACAGGCTAAAAGACTGAATACAAATAAGGAAGGCCCTGGTTTGAATTTCTCCACTTCAGTGAACCCAGTCAATGGCGTTAGGAAAACCAAGCTCTTATTCCTAGTTTCCCATCTGCAATATGTGGGTAATAATATTGTCTTACCTTGCATGACTTTTGTAAAGGTTGCAATGTTGAGAAATGCTTTAAATACTCAAAAGAGCTATATAAATATTACTTTATTGTTCATAAGTGTGGTAATACACAAAGGAATTCTTACAGATTTGAAGCATATATTGTCTGCTAAACCCTTCACTCATTTAGCTCTCCACAAACTGCAACTGAGAACAGTTCACTTTGCTGTTTCTTTCTTGTTTTGTAGAGTTTTAAGATGCATGCTTGCATTAGTTTTTGGATCAACAAGTTTTTTGGTGAGACTATTATGTTTGATGTTTTTTAGGTCATAACAGCAGTGGAACTCAAGAACCCAGGTTTCCTTCTGTTGCGGTACCATCTCCACTTCCAAGGATTATGTGAGTGACAAAAATACCATTTTCTCTCATTCAGAACTGCTCCGTGTACTACATATTTAGAAGAATATTGGCCAGAGGTTCAGTGTAAGACAGGCAAGGGATGGATGAAAGGAAGACTCGTTTATAACATTACAGGCTAGCATTCTCTGCTGTAAAAATAGCTTTTGATAACTGTCAGAAGTATAGACTGGTTGGTTTTGACTCCACTGTAAAATTGTTCCTTTGTTCAGCCATTCAGTTCACAGAAGAAAATAAGGGGAAGGTTAGAGACATCTGCCACATCATGACTCCCGTTATCTACCACCATCACTCCAAACCACGGCCCCAGATATAGCCTGTTAGTAGGCCCAGAGGGCTGATAAACCCAGCCTTCTAGAGATAGGCTACTCTTTAGTATCTGTAATCAGGAGCCACTGAAGCTGTTGCCAGTCAGCAATCACAGCATGCAGGGGGTATCAATAGAAAAAAAAATAAGCTTCACATAGCACAGACTTGTTCCTAATTGAAACCCTTTGCTGTTACTGACTCTCAGCATGCTAAACCACAGGTACAATAAACCCACCACACAGTAGAAGTTGGCTGATTTGTAATTTTGTATTTTACTGTGGTCAGTTTTACCTGGAAAAAATACTGTATGAAACACCAACAACGACTTTGATTTTGATTATGTCCCAACTTACTCTGATAAAGGGATACCTGCTCCGGTAAATTCCCTTGCTCGAAAGCCAGTCAAATCCGACTCTAGGGGGCGGTGCTCATCTCCGTTTCCAAGCCGAAGAGCCAGCACTGCCCAAAGACTTCTCCGTGGTCATGTGGCGCATGGAACGCTGTTACCTTTCCACCAAAGTGGTTCCTATTTATGTACTTGCAATTTCTTGCTTTTGAACTGCTAGGTTGGCAGGAGCTGGAACCAGAGACAGGCGCTCACTCCGTCATGCAGCACTAGGGTCTCGAACTGCCAAACTACAAACCTTCCGTTCTGCAGCTTAGCGTCTTAACCTCTGAGCCACTGCGGCTCCCTAATTCCATGTTACTTACTATAAAAAGTGCTCTGGGATCCAAAGAATTATTTTCAAATGTATTTTTGTGGTTTTCTTTGAAAAGACAGGCCCAGTTACCAGTGTTCCCTCTAAGCTTAGTGTGAGCTAGCTCAGTTTTTTAGCCTCTGGCTCACACATTTTTGTCTTAGCTCAGGAAGGATGGCTCCAGGGCAAACTAATTTATGCAGCAGCCAAATTGCTTGCTCACAACTTTAATGCCAGTCGCTCACAAAGTAGAATTTTTGCTCACAAGACTCTGCAGCTTAGAGGGAGCATTGCCAGTTACCATACCACAATTGTTTTGGACAGTTCCTTCTATTTCAAAAGTGATTTGCTATTGGAATGTAGCATGTGGACTTAAGCGAAGATATGCAAAGCCAGAGCTGACTCAAGGATGCCCAATCAGTTGTGCAGGCTTTTGGATACCATCCGTAAACTTTTCTTGCAAACTGCGCCTAAACCAGCTATATCAGCAGAGCTGGCAACCTCCAGGTGGCAGCTGGAGATCTCCTGGGATTGCCGCTGATCTCCAGGCGACAGAGGTCAGTTCACCTGGAGAAAATGGCTGCTTTGGAAGGTGGACTCTATGGCATTATGCCCCACTGAAGTCCCTCCCCTCCCCAAACCCCGCCCTCCTCAGCCTCCACACACACCCCAAAAAATCTCCAGCTATTTCCCAACCTGGAGCTGGCAACCCTATATGTCAGCTAGTTTTTTAAAAGCACAAAAGTCCCATATTCAGTAGTTTAAGATTTCCTAGATCCACTTAACACTCCTCGTTTTCCATATGTAGCATCAACAGCCAAGACAGCTCTGAACCCCAAATTCTCTTCTCCGCCCTTTATGCAGATGATAAATCCTGTGACCCATGTATGTAAAAAGCTAACTTTCATTTTTAAACTACAGGAAAAAAACACCAAATCCAGCAGTCCCTTCAGTAAGTTGATTTTCAGTCTATATTATATATTTTCTAATTTGAAGGTTAATTTTAAGGGCAGTTTGAAATTAACTGTACCGTCACTTTTTCCTAAGACAGACAAGCTGAATACTTTACAGATCCTTTGATGGGGATTATGCACTGAATGAATTTACTCTTTAGAATTCCATGTTTCATGTATGAAAGGATTATAAAATGTTATATGGGAGCCCTACCCTGTTTGCAGATGAATGTTTATAAAGTTTTCTAAGTTTCAGTTGCAAGAGCATGTTGATTCTATACCATAGTAGTGAATAGCAAACTTGTGTGCATTTTCTTTATTTTTATTATTCCCCAGACCCTAGGACTCTTGCTGTTCCCCCTCTTGGGGCAGGGAAATTCTCTTTGTCACTGAATGTTGTGCTGTTGGGTTAACTTGAAAAATACAAGCAATAGTGCATTATCTACCACATGCATCCCCTGTAAAACAGTCTCTAAAGGCCAGCATCCAAAAAGCCACAGGTGTAACCAAAGAACCTACTTAGGTGTCTGTGTTCCTACATGGATGAGCAAGTACTTCCATTAGCAGCTGTGCAACAAGGAGGTGCATGTGGGACAGTCACGTCTATATTCTCTGGCCAAGGCTTGATTTTATGCACAGCAGCACCTCACAGTAGGAAAACAGCTTCTCCCTCCACAGAAATATCTACCTACCTACCTGCCTGCCTGCCTGCTTAACATATGAGGGGAGACCCTTTACTCCTGCCAGTCCTCCTATTCCAAGTTGACTGAAACTAGTTCATTTATTTTAAAAATGTTTACTCTGGCATAGCTCCCTAAATGGCTTACCAAAAAACAAACAAACATATACTTTAAAACACTGCAATTAAGTGATCTTATGAACCATACACATATAAAAATAGGATATATGAGAGATCTGCTCATGGGATGAAGGTTTCCCATTTTTTCCCCTACCCAAAAGCCACTCCTGAATATTGAATACCCTCAGAAATGGAGTGGGAATGCAATGTAGGAGGTTGCAGCTGGATGAGGATTAGATCCAGTCCTTAAAATGGTGGCAGTAGGGATCAGTCATAGTTTGAGTTTGTTCACATAATAGTCACTTGTATTCACACGAATGAGGTGAATACAGATAACAGTCTACCCAATGGCAACTTACCACGGTGGGCACAGAACTAGAGTTCAAGTTTAAAGGTACATAAAAATATATAGTATTATGCAATGTTGAAATCAACAAATATCTTTAATGTGTGTGTCTGTCATGTGATCAGAACAGTACATGCAAAACAGCATGTATCTCCGCTTCTGCTGGCAAGCAAGTACTCACCTTCCCATTAGAAACTAATTGCAGCTGTTTGCTGAGCCAGATATTTGGTTCTTCACAGAGCAGTTAAGTAGGATTGTGATGAACAAGTTCCTCCTCTAACACAAAACCATCGGGGAAACTGGTCACATGTAATGTCTGACCATGGATTGAGAAGAACGATACTATACAGAAGTCTAGGAAAGCAAATGATGGATACAGAGTTGTATCAAGAACTTATTTACATCCTTTCCATGTCATTACAGAAGCCAAGCCTTCCTAGTAGAGACCACCTAACGATGAATGAAGGTAAATTACTTTTGTTATGCAAATATTGGTCTATGATCTTGTATTGGTATATTAAGAATGTGTGTATATAGTGCTGTAAAGTCGCAGCTGACTCATGATAACCCCAGCAAGGGGCTTTCAAGGCAAGTGAGAAGCAGAGGTGGTTTGCCAGTGCCTTCCTCTACAGAGTCTTCATTAGTGGTCTCCTATCCAAGTACTGACCCTGCTTAGCTTCTGAGATCTGACAAGATCTAGCTGTACCACACCACCTTCCCTCCCTTATTAATAATAGTCAACAGTTGTTAAAAATAACATGGCACATATCCTGTTGAATCAAAAGATGCACTATTTTTCTTACTTTTGGTATGAAAACATGGAGATCTTTTACAAATAGATCTTAATTACTGCATCCAAGCTGAGGAAGTCATTTTCATTCAGATCAGATTACTTTTTAAACCTGCACAGTTGTGATTTCCCCCCCAAGTATTTGGTGTCATCTGAGTTTATGGAACAGAGAAACTGAATTAGACCTAGTGGATACATCCTAATATGCTGTTGATCAATTAGCCATTTTTCCTGGATCACCCAGTGCCTACAGGCTGCTGGGATCTTTCAAAGATCGCTACAATAGGCAGACCTTCCTCATATGACTGCGTACTCAGGAACAAAAGTAGATTAGGTAAACTTCTAAGTACATAGAACCAGATAGTCAGCCATGTTGATCTAAAGAACAAATTGAGAGTCCAGTGGCACCTTTAAGACCAACAAAGGTTTATTCAAGGTATGAGCTTTCGTGTGCAAGGCACACTTTTTCAAATACATTGGAATGGCAGATGAGGTTCTAAATTTACAGACAGGGATTTAACAGCAAATTAACATGTAAATTTGTTCTAAGTACATATTCTTTCTTTGTAAACTTGGAATTCATTGGTAAACTTCTGGGATTTGGTAGGGGGATGGTATGACTGAAGACCTCCCATCTCTGCTACAGACTCCTGCTGCCCATCTCAGGCAAGGTATAATAGAGATTTGATTTGCTGATGTGTTAGGATTGGCAGAGGATCCTGCTTTAGGGCAAGGTGTTTAGATGGAACACTCTGAACTCCTTTCTACCTCCACACCCCACAAAAACGAGTGAAGCCTTGGGAAACTGGTTTTGCTACTCATATTTCAGTCACATCTATATATCTAATTGCCAAGTGGCCCCCGGAGTGCGGATCGCTAAATCAGCGCTCCGAGGGCACTTGGGGGGGAGGGGGAGGTTTGTGCACTCTTGGGGCAGTCCCCAGGGGTGCACAAAAATCTAAAAACTAAAAAAAAAAATTGGGGGGATGTTTAAATCCCCCCGAAAGTGCAAGAGCGTTCCGTGCGCCTGCGCACGGAACGCTCTACGAACGCCAACGCCTGCGGGGAAGCCAGGCCTTGCTGCCGCCGCCCCCGTGGCCTCGGGGAGATCGAGGGTGGGGATGGAGGAGACGGAGCTCTTCCCCCCCCCCCGCGAGTATCGCGGGTCCCCGTCTTGTAACTTCTATTATTTTCCTAGACACATAGCATAATAATATTGTTTCTGGAGGGAGAAATGCACACAATGCATGAACTGATAGACTCCAGACCGGTGCCTAAACATTCAGCTTGCCTCAACTCCAGCCCAGCAGAGAATGGAAAGACAAGTTTTCAAAGTAATGTCTTTAATGTAATGAGTTGGGCCAAGTCCAAAGTCAAACCAGACTAATTTATATCCTCAATCTTTTTCAAAATACAGATAAACCTGTACCAGCTGTACGTCGCCGGGGTTCCAACCAGGATCTTCCTCTTCCACCAATACCATCTAATCTCCCTAAGTAAATATTTTGTCATTTATGCTTAGTGTCTTTCTACATAAAATGATTTGCTGATTTCAGAATCTAAAAAGAGGTAGATGAGGACAAGAATATTTATGAGGGGGAGACAATGAGACAGGTATACTATTATTGTCTTATTGACAGCTGTTACATGAAAAGGCAGCCATACATTTTAGCCTTCCCTCCATGTGTGCTATAACTCAGATCATGGAAAGATGTCACAATGCTCTGCATTTATCCATCTCCTCTAGTCGGTGATGAGAAAATGCAAGCACTACATCACACTGTAACATTAAGGAGGTAAACACACATTTAGTATAACACCTACCTTAGTTCTGTATCTAAAAATAACCCAGAGAAGAACAAATAGTTTTCTGAATGAATTGGGTTCTGTCACTCCCTTTCACTAAATGAGGATTCTTGCTCCACCAGAACAAGGCTCCTCACTTAGTGGAAGACACACATAGGATCCAACCCAAAGTATAAAGGGTTGCCAGCATAGTTTATTTAAAAATATGAACTTTTTAAAAAGTACATTCCTTTTACTGTAAATGTTTTATATTTTTGTGCCCATCTTGAAACATCCTTTTATAAGTGCATCATTATTGCATACTGCCCTTTTTAGATTTTGTGTGTGTAAAAACAAGCAGTGTGGAAAATGTAGATTCTCAGAGAAATGTAGATTCTCAAAATTAAGAAAGCCAATACCTTCCTACATTTCTTTAATCTCTAACCATTTGTTTCAGACCATTGCCACAAAAGGCACCTCTCTCTTTAAGTAAGTACACTTTCTTATTTGAATGAAGTTAGGGTTAGTTTCAAATCTGTGCATCATGGATCTGGAAGAGTCAAAATTTATCTCAGTCTCTTTAGCACTGATATGGCAGCAACAAGCTGGAAGACCACTCATAGAAGAGGCAATAGCCTAAATAAAATAGAGCATGTATTTTGTAACCAATAGAGTTCTATTGTCTTGTAATAATAAAATAATGGCCATAAGGATGGAATCTTACATAACATCATTTGTTCTTCCTTAGGATCACCAGATCCCCTGAATCGCAGCTTACCTACCCCACGCAATAGCATTTCTAATACAACAGAACAGGTATAATTTTTATAAAACAATTAAGGAAGTAGACTGCCACCAGCCTCTGGGAAACATGTACAATAAGAGATTGTACATATTAATCCTTAGTTAAAGATTTGGGCAACTCATGCTATAACTCCACTAAAGTGGATCAAAATCAAATATTTTTCCAGTAATCAAATTACTGTAATTCTTCTTTAATTTTTCAGGAATTAAATCTACAGCAACTTCACATTTACCATTCAGCAGTAGTTTATTGTAAATCTGACCAAATGGTTAACCACAACATAGCAAAATATACTTTTCATTTCAGACATCCAAAGGAGAGCAAGGGCTGCTTCATACACAATCTGTATCACAGATGTATATATTGCACCTTTCCTGGCCAAATTGAGGCTCTGCATTTATGCATGTATATCATTAACAGAAAATGATGTTCACGTCTTCAGAGATCTCTCCTGATGTTAATAGTTAATATTTGTCGCGTTCACACGAGGGAATTTGGGCCGGGAGCGGGACGGTTCGGGGGTGGAGCAAATGGCCACGATCACACCACAACATCTGGGAAGTGTAGTGCTTCCGTCCCTGAACTGGCCCTTCCGCGCGAAACCCCGCATCAAGTTGGAACCACCTACCGAGGTGGTTCATCGCAAAGGAGCGCCGCAAGCCGGGCGTCGGATCGCCGGCGCGTCCTTACGCTGGCCCATCCCCGGCTCCTAGCCGAACTGCGCATGCTCCGACATGCACAGTTCGGCTGGCTTCCCCGTCAGGGCTGTGTTTTCTCCCCGGCGTCTGATCGTGCTGGGGAGAAAAGGGGATCCATGGGATCCCGCCGCGGCATTTCAACTTTGGTGCGGCTTTTAAAAGCCACGCTTTTAGCGGCTTTTCCCCTGCCGTGTGGCAGGGGCCATTGCTTTGCTAAGGCACCAATATGGAGTAATGGAATGCTTTCCCCAAGGAAGTGAATAGGTATTATTCCCTAGTAAGAACTGTGAATGAAGTACGGAAGTGCAAGTGTTGCTCCATTTGGGGCTTGGTGAAGGTTGTAAAACTTAACATAAATACATATTTGTTTGTACTAGTTCATTTGTATTGAGTTGGACCTTACGATTGTGAGACTGCTGCCAATTCCCCCTCCCACTGCATATCCCCTTCAGGCCCCTCATGCTGTTTCTGAGGGTCCCACTGAGCAGAATTTCAGCAACCAAAGCAGACTGAAGTGGGAAAGGGAAAGCTGTGTTCCACAAGCACTGTGGTACTTCAGATCCAACTTTTTTCCTTCTAAATAATGTTTTAAAGCACACAACCAAGTATTCATTTCCCCCCCCACAGGACCCTAGCATTCACGGTAAAGCATGGTACATGGCTTCCAGTGATCGAAAAACAGCTGAGGATGCATTATACAGATCAAACAAGGTAGAAATGTTTCCGTAGTGATACTCTTTTAAGAATTCTTCAGAAGCACGGAAAGGAACATGGCTTATTTATTAAGCATACAGCTTACTGGAATGAATGGTAGTCATCACAGATCTTCATAAAATGAGTTCTGTCCAATTCTGCATTGCATTAGCAGGGCACTTCCACTCATGCAAGAGGGACTGGCTTTAGCTTGTTTTCCCCTTCCCATTGCATTCCCTGCACTACACCCCAACAGCTCTCAAGGATTCCTAGACAGCCGGAGGTACAGGGAGCTTCAGTGTGATGGGGGAGGAATGCCCATAGTTTTTTGGATTCAACCAAATACAATTTGGAAACAGTAGTCCCAGAGCCTTATTTCAGAATACAGGCTGTTTCCATTCCGGTTATAAGATAATGGGGAGCATGCAACTTCAGTGGCCTGTACCCTACCACCCATTAAGCAATGTCCAGCATACAGAGTCTTCCTCTGATGGTACTGGAGGAAGGATGCTCAGACTGGGGCTCTTCAAACCACATTAGTGATTTAAAAAATCACTGGACATTTAGTGGCAAGACATCAGGGGCAGTTTATCAAGTTGCATGTTTTGGAGATACGAGGAAAAAAAGAAGCAACCTTCATTGCAGAGAATGGACTTTATTAGCATATCCCCCACCAACACACTTTGCAATTCCATATCCATTTAAAGGAACAGACAGTAGCTTGCAAGTGATAGGCTGACCACCATCTCTTCAGTTTTATAACCACCATACAGATATTTTGAAAATCCCATCTTGCTGTTAAACCTGACATGAAAGGGACTGGCTGCTTCCCAAAATTAGGAATCAACATCTTGTGCAGTCTTTTGGCTTATGCAGCATCATATTCTTAACAAATTCTATTAGTTACACTCTCACACATGCCACACCACCTGAAAATACTGGGAGATATATGCTAGATAAAAAATTTAAAAACTAAATAAAAAATCAAGGGGTAAAGGATGTCAAGATCACAGTTTTGAATACGTTGTGGAAGCAAACCAAACTTCAAATTCGATAAGGAGCAACATGGTTCAAAAACAAAGATCAGTATTAGAGAGCTGATGCCACAACACTGACTCTGGCAATCCATTAGGATGTCAAAAAATGTAGAAAAATGTGCTGTCTAATTAACCTAATTACTTTTTTTCATTGCTTGATTTAGGATGGATCTTTCCTAGTAAGAAAAAGTTCTGGACAAGACTCAAAGCAACCATATACACTAGTTGTATTTTACAACAAGCGAGTATATAACATCCCTATTCGATTTATTGAGTCAACAAGACAATATGCCCTAGGCAGAGAAAAAAGTGGTGAGGAGGTAGGTTTTATACCTTAATACATAAATTGGAATTTTACTTACACTGTGTATGAACATAAAAACATATCTTGAAATAACTGATTTAACCATTACCTTTATTACACATATATCTAAATAAAAAGAAAACATTTATTTCAGTCCAAGTGAGACCTAATTAAAGCTGAGTGCAATCCCTTCACTACTTATTTTAACAATCCAATCTCCTGACCACCCTTCATTAAAAAGCTCTCACTGGGAGTTCTTAACTGTGAGTATCCTTAAAAGCAGAAAGGCAAATGTTATCATTTATCCAGTGTTGTACAAATCAAAGGAGAAAAGCAGTTAGGGGGAAAGTCTATTTAACTGAATAGGCTGCAATAAAAGAGGACCATATAATTTCCACTTAGGGGCATGCCCTTCTAAAATCTCTTTAAAACTTAAAGTTAGATCTAAAGTTATTGTTCCTCACATGGAAAATGTATTTGCTGTCAAGGGGCTGTTTCAGACAGCACTGTTTGAGAAACTAAATCTTTAGAAATGTTTTGGCTTGTTGAAGTTCTGGCACAAGCAGAAATGTTAAAACTACTATGAGATTTATCTACAACACTATATCGAACCTTCCATTTGCACAAGGGCTTACAGAACATAACAGCACAAGTGGCTATGTTCATTCTGCTTATGGTTTTTTGGATTCAACCCATAGGAATCAATTTATTAAAGCCAATAACAGTTTTAACCAAACCTTAAACTAGTGTTGTACTGTATATTGCTGACATCCAATATGCTGCCCCCAGTCAGCGTTATCTGTAGTTTAGTAAAACTGCTCTGTATCTTTAAGACTTGTGCACCTGGGAATTGGAGTCCACAGTAGGGGTCCCAGAAGCAACATCGGGAAAAGGTCCCATAGCCATCAGTACCCTGTGTTGCCCCACCACAGAAGCGGAGTTAAAAGACACCGGGGAAAGTCTGGTCCTAATGCTTGCTGACGGGCTATGGACAGACTTTCCCGTCTAATCGCTCAAGCATGCACTCAATCTGTCGGGATAGTCTGCCCATTCCATCCTGACTCAGTGTCATTTTTTCCCCTCGCTTAGCAGTTTCCCCCCTCGCATGGTGGAGGTGTGAGTCATCATTTATGTGCATGGGAAACAAAAGGCAACTCCCCCCCCCATGGCCAAACATGCCATCTGATTGGGCAGCGACAGGCTGAGCCCACAACTACAAAGGATGTGTGATTGCACAATGCTGTGTCAATGTCAACCAGGGGAAATAGGCTGTCCAGCGCCAGCTGTGACTAAGCCAGGTGCACAAGTCTTAAAGATACAGAGCAGTTTTACTAAACTACAGATAACGCTGACTAGGGGCAGCATATCCAATTATAATTTACTGTCCTAATGTTAAAAGTTCTGACATGCTTGTTTTTGTTTGTTTTTAATGAAAATTTTAAAAAAACTCTGAGAACATTTTGTAATAAACTAAATACTTGCACATCATAAAATTTGACAATTTGATTAAATATTAGTTTTGAATTCAACACTCAGCCATGTTATTTTATGGCTACTGTTGCTAATTAACCTTTTCTCCCTGACCTTCCATTTCTGATTAGACAGGGACAGGTTTTGCATTTTGCTATGTCCCTCTCTTAATTTCCAAGGATAATTCATTTTCTGATGCAAGTTTATTACTCGGCTGCTAGAAAATTTTATCATTAAAATATATAGATGCCCCATACTTAGCACTGAACAGTTTTGTTTATATACTATTGTTTATTTAAAAGGTTTTGTTCATATCTTTTGGAGTTGAGCAAAAAAACAGAATTTCTGGGATTTTGTAATCCACTTAATGATATGTTAAGTATCAGTTTACCTCATGTTCCAAAGGTTGTATTATTGGGGTATATTCAAGATTATGTTGTTTTATCAGTCTTGGAATCTGTCCTAACCCTTCTTGCAGCTGCTGAAATAATCCTTGCTACTAGATGGAAAAAGACAGACCCCCCAGTTCCAAAATATTGCTTTTATTTTGTTTGGGAAAATGTATTCCTTATTAACTTATTATCAAAGAACATTAAGAAACTCTTCTGATGCTTCACATAAATTTATGGAACATTGGGCTATATTGATGATGTTTTGGAATGATAAGGGTACAGAGAATTTTTCCCTATGTTTTCTGTGAGCTACTCTGACCAATCTCTCTGTGGTATTGGTATTTATCTTTTGAGGAATTACAGAATCATTGTTATTATGAACCATTGTTTATTAAATAGCAGGAAATGCTATTAAAACAAATATAGTAGTTGGCTGAATTAAAGACTCATATTTGCAACAATGCCATCTGTTTTCTCAAAACCATCTATCTGTTTTCTCAATCCAGCGCTTCGACAGTGTGGCAGAAATAATAGAAAATCATCAACGAAATTCTCTTGTTCTCATTGACAGTCAAAACAACACCAAAGACTCTACCAAACTAAAATTTATTACTAGAGTTTGATAAGTGCATTGAGAATTCAACATGGAGCCTAGGCCTAATCTTCTGGGAGATTCAAGATCAAGCATTTGAACAAGAATCTACATCTTCAATTAAAAGACTTTTTCTCCAAAAGCTTTACCAGCAAGAGACACTTTTTTATATAAGACCACACAATTTTATAAGACAACCAAGATTAATTTGGTACTGGTAGCTAATTAAGAATTAACTGTTTGTGACTTCAGTTGACATGGCTATTCCAAATTCATACCTGAGATATTATGTACTTGAAGTATTTTTGTAAAGAGGTTCCACACTTCAGAGAGAAGCAGAAAACTCAAGAGTTAAAGTGTAATTGTTTAATACATTTAAAGGAATTGTGTCTTACACCGCTCACTCTTGCAAATGTTAACATGAAACTCACAGATTTCTCAAATTTAAAACTATCTATGCCAAGATAAGCTACTGTTTGTAATAAGTTAAAGGCAGGATTGTTTGTTGGGACAGAAATCCAAAAAAGACGTCAGGATTTCAGTACAATGTAATGGATTTTATGATGACTTCACCTGTATTTGTTGGAACCACTGTTACATGGTGTGTTTTTTAATTAAAGTACATGTAAATATAATATTAAAAGAACTGAATTTCTTTTATCATGAATTGAGTGCATGTATGTATATATTATTGAGATCAAGCACTTTGTAGCTTTCATATTCAAAGTACATCTTATCTACCTCTCAAATTCTGAATAAAGACCGGAACTTAGACTAGCATGCTGCAGCTGTTTAAATATTCACATTTCAAAGGAACCCATTGGTTTACAATTTATTGGCGGTTAAGGAATTTGTACTTTGGAATGTTACACTTCACTATTTATACTAGATGGACACAGATCTATTCATTCACTGGAAACAAGATTTTTGTTTCTTCCATCATGAAGAAAATAGAATTTGAGACAAGACGCACTATACATTTCAAACTGCACTACTTGGTTGCTTGGTCACTGCCACACTGCTTAGCTTTTAGCAGCCTCTCAGAACAATTTGGTTATTGACCTTTAACTGGCAATGGAAGACTGATGCACTCTTAAACATTTGTGTAAACTGTAGCACTAAGACAAAAAAAGGAACACATAGTACATCTCTGTAAGATTATACTTCCGTTTTATAATCACTAACGTTCAACCCATTGTGGAGGATTGTCTTAGCCTTATTTCTCTTTTCCATCCCAAACCATATTCACAGCTATCTTTTTTTTTAACATCAACTTCTACAACTCAGTTATTGTGCAGTCTCCTCAGACAAAAGAATTTTGAATTTTGGGGATACAGAATACACAATCCAGGACATGTCAATTTTTTAAAAAAAATGTGATAAATTGCTTTTCTTTTACTTCTGAAAATGTTTCTAACATTTCAAAGATTTCCTATTAAAACAGTTTAAAGCAGGCATCTGGAATCACATGATTATTTTACTAGTCTATATATGCAAATTGGCAACTTTTTTTTGCATCGTACTTAGGTGACAATATAACTGAACAAAAGAAAGGAATAGTAAACCATCATCAGCTCTGATCCAGAGCTAGAAAACATATTTTTAATTCCTGGAATTTTTCCAATATAATCTTTTTAGAAGGGAATACTATTTAATTGCATCCTGAATGTGAGGGGGGGGGGGTTTTTTGTGTTGTCAAGTAACAACTAACTTATGATGATCTTGTAGGGTTTTCAAGGCAAGAGACATTCAGAGGTGGTTTTGCCATTGCCTGCCTCAAGTCATAGCCCTGGTGTCCCTTGGTGGTCTCCCATCCAAATAGTAGCCAGGGCCAACCCTGCTACCTGGTCTATCTGGGTCAGGGCAAATCTGTTTACCCAGATTCATTAGAACATACTTTTAAAAATATAAAACAGTTTGATTTTGTTAGCTGTGACAACTGACTAAAATTTAATAGCATTACAAAAATCAATGGCAAAAAATGTATAGTTAGCTTATGTACACTAATTTATGCAGCAGGAAGAAGAGCTGTGCTGTAGCAGAGAAGTCACTTTACAAACTCTCAGGATGGATACTCTACAGCTCAAGCCACATGACTGAATTTTCGTAGAAGGCAAATTAATTTTCAAAAATCCAGGCAACAACTTTATAGCATTTCCTCTGAGTTTTGCATGTTATTTTCAATTCAGTCACATTCATTGTGTATACTTGTGACTTTTTACATGAATATAAAAAAGGTTTATGTATATAAATACTGTAATGTCCGCACTTGACTGATTCATCATCCTAAACCTCTTTTGGTAAACATACTGTAGCCATATATAAGCATATTTAAGTGGTTATGTACCTGAGGAAGCGCATTCAAGTGATTAAGACCAAGTCTGGTTTTTTTATAGTTAAATGTTAACTATACTATTATGCTGCAAATCTTGTACAAATAAGTAGAATGTTGGAAATAGACCCAAAGGAAGACTGGACACAGATAGGAAAATATGCATTGCCGTTTACATTTCAAGGTACATTTTGGACAAAAAAGAACAAGAGATCATATTCTATTCTGGCTAATTTTATCTTAGAAAATATTTTACAAATTTGGGATAAATTACGAAAGCTTATAGCTCCAGAGATATTGCCAGTAGCATGCACTTTAAACCAGGATTGGTTCCCACCTTTTCAATTAACCAAACCTCCACATTTATGGGTTGAAAGTTTTAGATAGATGTGAATGGCTTAAAAAAGGAGAAATAAAAACCAAAGCCCAAGCAGAAAGGAAACTGGGTAACAGTATTGATTGGTTTCAATATCTTCAAATAAGCAACTTAATACGATTGCAGCAAGGAAGGGGTTTTAAAAGGCAACACAATTCAGAAAAAATTGTCAAAGGACGGTTCTCAAAGTTATATAAATATTTGGTGGATTGAACTAACTGAATCAGATTGGGAAGAAATTTTGACCTCCCCATAAAATACATCGAAAATATTATGTATTAGATACCAATATTTTAAAATGTTTTCAAACTGGTATTTAACTCCATCTAAGCTTAACAGAATTTAGAAATCTATTAGCCCAGACTGCTGGAGGAAATGTAAAATGAAAGGTACTTCCTTTCATAACTGGTGGGGATGTCCAATCATTCAGTCTTTCGGGAAGGAAATTTATGAGGAAATCTTTAAAAATAAAAAAATCTTCCTTTCCTTACAATATTAAAGTGATACTATTTGATATCTGGCACAACAATAACATGATAAAAGAACATACAATTTTGATTTCAATACTATTGGCAGTGGCAAGTTTGTTAGTAGCTAAGTATTGGAAATCAGCCACAGCACCTACAAAAATACAGTGGTATAATAAAATATGGGAAATGTATGTAATGAGTAAAATAACCAACAACTCTTTTTTTGAGGAAATTGTTAAAAATATACAGAAAGTTAATCATGAGGGAATGTGGAATCCAGTGATAGAGTATTGTAAACACAGAGTATCTTAAAGATTCCCAATAGGAAGGATTACAATGTGTTTTTGAATGAACCGACTTTTTTGTTCTTCGCTTTTTCTTTCCCTCTATGATTACAAATTGAATAACTATGTATAAGTACATTAAGTCTTTTGAACTTGATTCATTAAGCATCAATAAAAAAATAAATATTAGCTAAAAAAATTTAACACCAAACGATTTCAATTTACAATAAAGTCAATGTGCTTTACCTATCACTTTAAATATCCAGTACAAACGGAAAGCAATATATGTCTATATAACAAAAAATTTAACACCAACACATATGCAGGGGAGTTCTTAAGAGGTAATTCTAGATTGCATTTCTTGTCCATTATTTTCCTGAGAAACTTTAACGTGTTTAAACACTGAAAAAATATTACAAATATGAGACCATGTTACTGCTCAGTATACTTGAAATTTCCCCTGCTAATTGCATTGAACGACTGGTTCTCATAATCACATAAAGTTAATTTTTCTACAAATGACTGAAGTGCAACAAGTAATAATTGCTTTCCTTCCAGCACTGAAATTAATTTTGCTTGGGCATTATTTCTACCAATACAGAGGATAATCTCATGTACTAAGGAGGGATCCCAATGTGGTAGAAGACTTGGGGTTGTGTGGACATTTTTTCCAACTTGGAGGTCAGAAGAACCTAGACTGATGCAAGCTGTATCATATTTATTTGAACATGGTATCTGCAATATGCCATGTCTGAAAATCCTTATTCTCTCTCCAGTCAATAATATACCATTTTTAAACAGAGCCAATAAAACTCTATTCCAATGCTACATTCCCACTGTGAGGGATGCAAGAGGGAGCTCATCAGTGTTGTTAGGTTTAGCTTTCCCTCCAGGAAGTAACTAATGAATAGGTTAATAAAGGTAGAGATGCAATCCCATCTTTCATGGATAAAAGTTTAAAATATTTTGACTGAATGGAGCCTTTAGGTTATGATCTTAACGAGATTTTGTACAGTAGATGGTGAATCAACACAAAGGAACCTGAGCAAAGCCCAAACATCTCTACAACACAACCACCAGTGCTGTACTGTCAATATTCCATAATTAGTAGATAATTGTCAAAATAATTTCCATAATTTAGGGCAGAATATACAATCAACATGGCAAAAACATGCTGTTTGTCTGAATCAGAAAGGTGCCCAAACACGGAAGACAATTTTTCTGTGAAGTATCAAATGCTTCATCGGAACTGTGTGAAGCATTAATGTTCACTGAAAATCAAAACTGAAGCCCTTCTAATTTTAAAAAAATTAATTAGTCCCCCCTTCCCACCATACTGAACACTGAAAGTCAACTTTTCGAGGACCCCCCCCCCAAATCATTCTAAAAAATCATACACATTGTGAATACACTTCCAACCAATTTCATTCTTAGGCTTAAACACAGTAACATGTTTATTGATTTATATGAAAAATACTCCACTAAGAAAGTAGACAAACTGCACAGAAATAGTACAAGTGTCATGTGCATAGCAATATAGCTTAAAGCATTCACATATGGCTTTGTTAAAAAGAAACTGTTAGGAACCCTGGCCCTATGTGGACCTATGGGTATACAGTTGACACAAAGTAAACTGCTTCACATCTTTTAGGCACTTGCTAACAACAGTGTTCAATCCCTGGAAAAGAAAAAAATTGTTTGTTTTTTAAGATCAAGGAAAAATACGGCAATAGCTGTGTGTAGCTGAAAAAACTTTTTTAGTAGTGCATGCACAGAGCTGAAAAAATACAATTCCTGTGCAAGATTTATAGCAAATAACTGAAGTACAAAAATATGTACACATTTTGATTTTAAATATATACAGAACAAAAAGCCCTGAAATTCATTTCCTAAATAAAAATATATGACATGATAGTAGTAACAAAATGCAATTTACACTGCAATTGTAACTAATTAATTTAAATTCATACATGTTCATTTTAGGTGCTACCACAAAACTTTCTCTTCCTTTTAAAAAAATGCATTTAGTACATTGCTGTCATCCAAAATCTGTAATCAGATCAACTTTGTTTTGCCTTCTTCACTACTCATAATAAATTACCCTAATGAATTCCAGTCTCGAGTGGCTTCCATTAGGTGACGTTGCCCATGCCCCACCCAGTTGTCCTGATTGTCAAATATCCTCCCACAAAACCAGCAACTAAATTTCGTTTTCAGTGTATTATCACAGGTAGTTTTTACAATCTGATAATTGTTTTTGCTAGTCTTCTTCAGTGTTAATTTTAAAACAAACCTCTCTTTCACAGGACTAACAGGTTTCAGCATTCTGCGCCTCCTTCGGGGGAGATCATCAGTAATTATGTACAAACTGTTATCATAATATGCTGGTTCCAGAAGAGCATCAATAGTTCTCTTTGACAAAGAAACTTTTAGCACATGTCCTTTAAATTTAGCAATCGTCTTCATAACATTTACAACTTCTGGAACATCTGCATCAGGATGATTTAGTACTACAACTGGCTGATTTCTTCGCGGGCATTTGATAAGCTGTTTAGAACTGAAAGGAAGTAATTTTAGAATCCGCACAGTGTCTTTTGACACTTTTTGTCTACAAGGAGCCTGAATCAAAGATTCCAATTCACTGATATCAATTTGATTTTTTTCTTTACATTTTCGATGCAACATTTTCTTTCTAGGGGATTCCTGAAGGTCATCATTAGCTTTCCGCTTCAAATTCCTGTTCTTCTGTGAAGCTGCAACATTAACCTTAATATTAGTTTGCTTTGAATGCCGCTTAGGTTTTGAAATTTTGTTTGTCATAGTCCCCGTTGACATTTGGCTTCCAAAACTGCTCCCTTTCTTGGTCACTGTTTGTGCTGACTCAGATGGACACTTTTGTGACCGTGTCTTCACATGTTTGGAGGAATGTACAGATTCTACTGAAGTGAAAAGATCCTTGGATTTACAGCTTGACAAACAGGCATTTGCTGGCATCAATTTACCTGGTAAGATTAAGGCATCACTAGAAGAAAAAGCTGTCTTTTTTTGCTCTAGTGCAGGGCTATTAAGGGAATGCATATTACTGAACTGTAAAGATGACACAATGTTGTTAGCTGTTTT